TGGTATGAGGAGCTGGAAGTTACTTATTTCAATTAAAGTTGAATTATTTGAACTTCTTTCTCTACATTTTACTGAAACAGATAGTAATCCATATCTGGTGTGGATATTTAGTTATTTTTAGCAGGTGCCTCTTTCTGACTTTCTTCCAGGCTTATCCCTTCTGAAAGGTTTAATAAATCCAAGTAACATGAACCAGAACTCCTGTTTTTTCAGGATCACGTTTGTTCCCTCCCAAATATTTCTTTCCGAGGGGCTCCATGCAGTGATGCTGCAGGGCGTCAGGTCACCTATGGAACAATAATGAAGCAGGTGAATAGTTCTATTTCTGGGAGCCTGTGGGATGAGGAGCAGAAGGCTCCATATTATGAATATAAGGTAAGCAGTTTCCTAGACAAACGTTTATGAGCTGTGGACTAAATGTACATGAACCTTAGTTCTGTTCTTGTAAAGCTAGATTCTCAGGTGTCATCTGTCCACTTTGTGATGCTCATGTGTTGCAGAGTGGATAGATTCCAGTTTAACTTATGTCAATGGAGAGTTCCCCTACACAAGGCTGGCAGAAGCGGCAGAGCTGGCTCCTGATCTAGCCTACCACCTCTTCATTGAGAGGAAGGATGCATGTAATGCCAGGAAGGGGATTTGGTAGGACAGAGTTCCACTATGCCTATCCTCCCTTGTCAGAAGGCCCCTAAGGAACCTTATGCCAGTGATGTAAGTTAAAACAGGCTCCCAGCTGCTCTTAATTTCTGCTGGTGCTGGGTGGCATAAGATCAGGGAGCTGCAACTGTCTTCTTTTGGCTTCCCCTCTTCACTGTGTCCAAACTCAATCTGGATGCAGTGGAAGACTGAGCCCATATATTATTATTGTGGACTGATAAAGCTGTAAATATTTCTTATGGTTCCGTTGGTGATGGATTGTCAGTTACCTGGTATTAAATTTTGTATAACTTTAATGCACTGATGACTAAAAGCTCTTAAAAATCACCAGCTGAAAGCAATATAATTTTTATTTGGCAAAATTCCATAACTTTCTCTAAATCTATGTTTATTGCTAGGAACAAAACCACATACTCTGTGACCTAATTTCATTTATTAGACTACACGATTGAAATCCTAGCCCGAGCCTTTGATATTATCAGCTTTTTAAATTAAATTTATCATTAAAATACCCACAGATCTAGTCATCTCATTTAACCTAAATTAATACAAACATCTTTGTAACTCATTTGTGGTTGTTTGTCTGGAGATCAGAGAAGCATACTAGTAAGAAAGCAGAGATGTTTATTGGTCTATGCATTGTAGAAGAAAGACAGCTGGAGTTGTGGGTTGTTGGTTTGATTGTGTTTGGTTTTAAACCAAACACACACAAATCCTTTTCAGGAGCTTCTTTGCACTTTTGGAAATGGAATTTTAGATTGTCTTGTTTGTAGAGCTTTTAAATGTAAGTCTGGAAAACCATTGTACACATTTTATTCATCTGAGTTTTTACTTCATTTATAATTATAGTTTTGATTCATTGCATTTAACCTCTTTGTATACGGTGTTTATATATGCTAACACAAATGTACTTATCAACTTTTTATAGGACTCTCTTGGTCATTTTCATCAAGTATGGTACGATAATCCACAGAGCATTTCCCTGAAGGCAACGTATGCAAAGAAACGTGGTTTAAGGGGTATTGGCATGTGGAATGGAAATTGTCTTGACTACTCCAGAAGTTCTGTAGCAGAGCAGCAGACTGAAGCAATGTGGCGAGCCTTGAGACCATAGCAACTATATAAGATAGTGAACACTACCTCTGGATTTAGAATGTAGAAAATTAATTGGTAGTTATGGCTAATATTCTGTATTATGCCTTCTTGCAAGCATGCACTGGTTACAAGCAAAACTTCATCTTGTCAGTCTCTGCTTAAGGCAGTATTTTTATACCTTAGAAAGTATTTAACATTGCATTAACACTGTTTTAACAGGTTCTGGTTATTCTCATTTTCATAACTGGCATCAGACCTTGAACTCGACACTCATAATATATATTAACAACATATGTGTGTTGAATCATTTAAAAGAGAGCATATGAGAATGAGGTGTTCTGCTCAACACAAATGCTTTATCATAACCAGTTACTGTGCTTTATTCTGTAAACTTTATATCTAAAAATATACACCGACTAGTTGTGAAGGTTTTAATTATTTGTAGCATTTAGCTTTGTTGCCAGTGAAACTGAAGAATTCAATATTCTTTTTATGTTTACATAACATTGTGAGGTTTTTTACAACTTCAAAAGCCAGAAAACCTCAGGCTTCAAAGAAAGCTTGCACCCATTTTGCTCAAAGCTGCATTCTAAAGTGTATATGATAAGCATTTCTTATGACCTGTCTAAACACATTGATTTCATAATTAACATTTTTAAGTGTCTACATTTTTGAATTAGATGATTGTAGTCACAGTACTGCTGTAATTTCTGATGCTAGTGGAGAAAATCTCTGTCTTTAGATCAATTTCATGTAGATCTTGCCGAGAGAAGAATCCTGTATCAGTAGAGAGATGGATTGGATAATCTAATAGATAATTTTTCATCTTGAAATTCTGTGATTCCTGACAACTAAGAGGATAGATTCCTTGATCTAGAGTGGTGTTTTTCAAATTTCTTTACACAAAACTCGGGCTGAATAAAAGGACCCTATGTTCATTTCTAGTTGCTTATAAAATGTGAAAATATTCAGAATGAGAAAATCTCAGGTTAGTCATAATATTTTCTGATGATGATTTATTGTGCCAGGGGAATTTTGAATGAAATATTAAAATATTTGCAAACATTTATAGAGATTGATGTATGTGTGTGCGTATTTCAGTAAAGTTTTGTTAAAATAGAAAGGAAATATTAAGGCTGAGGCAAAAGAACAATTCATGGCACTTTCATCTTCCTAGAAGCAAAATACAATATTTGTTTTTTAGTAATGTTTCAAGGATTATTTCGTAAATAAATTATCTACTAAACTGTTTTGGAGAGAGTCTTTTTTTGTATATAACATTTTAAAAGTGAGGTGTAATCCAAATCTCCTGAGTGTATGCTTTGTCTTTGAACATACTGCAATGAAAGAAGAAAGAACTGTTTTCTAGTCCTACTGTGTATTTGTTACAAAGATAGGCCCATATCCTGTGGACACTTACGCTTCAGTTTAATTTTATACGCTGTGAGTATTCCCATTAAAGTTAGTGGAACTACTCATGTATGCACTTAGTATATCAAATTAAGTGTTTTTTAAATGTTGATATTGTCTTATAGAGTCTGTGGACACAGTGAAATAATTAATAGAAGTCTGACATCCCCCCCCCCTCCTTAATCAGGATTTTGGTTTAAATACCTAACATTGTCAAGTTAGGCCCTGACTATGCTATAACTTGCAACTGAAGTTACAGTAGAACCTCAGAGTTATGAACACCTTGGGAATGGAGGTTGTTTGTAACTCTGAAATGTTCATAACTGAACAAAACGTTATGGTTCTTTCAAAATTTTACAACTTAACATTGACTTAATACAGCTTTGAAACTTTATTATGCAGAAGAAAAATGCTGCTTTTAACCATCTTAATTCAAATGAAACCTTATCAAATCTTTTTTTTAAACTTCCCCTTTATTTTTATTTTTTTAGTAGTTTCCATTTAACACAGTACTATATTGTATTGCCTTTTTTTTTTTTTGGTCTTTGCTGCTGCCTGATTGCATACTTCTGGTTCCAAATGAGGGGTGTGTGGTTGACTGGTCAATTCGTAACTCCCCTCCCAACATTTTGAGCCAGATTCCCATGAAGTGCTGCTGAGGAAAAGGGATGCTGCTGCAGAGCCATAACTAAACCTCTAGACATCAGGGGGTCACAGACTGGATCTGGATTCCTTACACTTGTAAAACAAAAGGCACTATATCACCTTTATCTGTGGTATCTCTTTTCATCTGCTGCTGTGTATTTCATTTAACTTTTGTTAAAACTTTAAAAGTAAACACTTGAATCTGATTCATCAACTACGTTAATTGAGCTATTTACAATTTCAAGTTTTCTGTATCACTGCAGAGAATAGAACCCAGAAGCCCAGTCCTCTGCTCTTATTTATTAAGTACTGTTAGTGTTTTCCATGCTGTATAAACAGAAAAGAGACAGTCCCTTCCTTCTAGAGTTTGAAATCTAAATTGGTTCTAGACAATACAGTTCAGATTCATAGGATTTAAGTTCCAATCTTGAAGTGGAACAGGGGGTGGTTGACTGGTTCATTTGCTGGGAAGGCTTTATGGAAGGATTTCAAGAAGGATTACATTGGAGACCAAGAGGTAGTATAGCTCACAAGATTTAGAGTTCCTCCTTTTGAAAGTGTTGCAAGAACTTTCACATCCTATTACTGACATCCTGTCTGTTTCTGTCACTTGCAATAATTAGTATAGCCTTGTCAGTTTTGTGGCAGCTTCACATTAACCTCTTGCAGCTTACTGCTTTGCTAGATATAATACCCTTTGGAACTAAGGGAGCAAGCAGGAGAGAATGGAAAAAGTTAACATGGAGGGGGTACTATTTCCCTTCCAGAGATCTGATACTCCGCACCGGAACATGCCTGTTGCCTCCCCTCTGAACTTGGTTAATAAATACGGTGTGCTCTACATTTTCTTTCATGTAAGACTGACGATGATCTTATTTACAACCTCAGGGCTAGGACAAGGGCATTTGATTGTCAATGCAGCTACACTTAAGAGAAGGAAAAGAAACAACAAAACTGATATGATAATTTAGAGATAGGTATGTTTACAATGCTTGAATTTCAAAGCACAATGAGGTAGATATCTGAAACCTCAGTATTTTGTGGGTTAAACTGATTGAGCTATATGTACCTCAAAAATACACTTTTATCCACAATTATGGGTATACTACAAATTACAATTCCGTATTGATCGTCATTATATAAAATTGACGTGTTATGCTAATTCACTATTTGAAAATTTTTTAATGCTGTTTCTTTACATTTGATTAGCTTATAGTAAAAAATAAACACGCTAATAGATTAAACTGCATGTTTTATGAGTATAAGTGAATTACAACTGAGTTACAATTATTAGCTTGAGCTATTTTAAGGCATTTTAAATACATGATATACCTCTATTTTAACATATACAATTATCCTATCTTACATATTGAAAAGTCTCTTTACAATAAAAGCATAGGAACATAAAAACAATACTGACATGCTGAGCTTCTATACAAATATATTACACAATCTCAAGTAATGCGATCCTTCTAAAATACTGGTGTTTCAGACTGAAGTATTAAAGATGACTGAATTTTCTTCTGTGCCAGCTCTGCTCTCAATGCTCGTAAATCAGAGGCTGCCTGCTTTCTCATCTGCAAAAGAACTAGAGATTATTTAAGGAAGATTTTGAAGTTGAAGATATAGTAAAGATTTAACTTTTACGTTGGTTAGATGGATATAGAATGTGCCTTTGATTCTAACCAGTTCTCGCCCTGCCTTTCTGCATGTTTCCTTTGTTGTGTCATCTTTAAAAGTCAAATCCTGAAATCCTTACTCAGCAAATTCCTATTGACATCAGTAGGAGTTTGCCTGGATAAGGAATGACTAAAAATTGACTATGAATCTCAGGATTGTTTTGTTATAATTGACACTATTTTTCTTCTAGAAATACATTTTCTAGTCTTTTGACTTTTGCTAGCAATGGACAGAATTGTCGCCCACACTGCAGATGATGAGGCAAAGGGAAAAATTCTTATTTTAGTTGCAACAGTATAATCCACATCGATTTCAGTGTCATACTCTGAATTCACTTCTCTATAGCTAAAATTAAAATCTGGCTCCAAGCTTATGTGAAAAAATGTATATTGTACTGCAGTTGTCTAGACCAGACCTGGTCTGTGAATAAAATGACCTTGTCAGACAATTAAATGTTCCTGGGTTTTCATTCTGTCCTTTATCTTCAGGTTAGACCAGCTGATTTCCATCCTAATTTTTTCCATTTCTTTGTGGATGTTGTTGGCTGCTCCCCGCCCCCCCCCCTGTGTTTTATCCCCCTTATCGCATCTCCGTTATTGCCTGCTCCCTTAGTACCCTTTGAGGATGCCAATACCTTGTTACCCTGCAGATGTTTAAAATTGTGAATTTACTCCTGTCAGTCTCTCATAGATGTGATTCTATCTCCAACAGCTATAATTAGATGTTTTCTTCCACTTTCTGAAGTTGGTGTCTTGCAAACAAGGCTGGATAATGAATTACTGTTCCAGAGCTGTGATTGAGCTTGTTTTCCCTAATACTCAACTTTTGTTCCACTTCATTTGTTGTCTTCATACAGTGTGAGGCAGTAATAACTTTCTCATGTCCCTTTTTTACTTTGCCCTTCCAAAAAACCCTCAATGTCATTGATTTAGATTTGTAAATAGTTTATGGGATGCTTATTCTACCTCTGCATCTTCTTTCTTTCATTGGAGAGCAATGGACATCAGTGTTATTTTATTTATAGATTTTCTATTGTGCTCATCTAAGTCTGCTGGTTCTCTACAACTCTTGGGCTGGTGTAGTCTTTTTAATTAATTGCCTTCCATATCACGCTACTCATCTTTTCATCAGACATTTCTGAAAGGCTCTACAAGGCTATGTCAATCTCAGACTCTCCAAACTATGGCCTATATCAGGGATCGGCAACGTTTGGCACGCGGCCCGCCAGGGTAAGCCCCCTGGTGGGCCAGGCCGGTTTGTTTACTTGCCACGTCCGCAGGTCCGGCTGATCACGGCTGCCACTGGCCGTGGTTCGCCACTCCAGGCCAATGGGGGCTGCGGGAAGCGGTGTGGGACGAGGGATGTGCTGGCCACGGCTTCCCGCGGCCCCCATTGGCTTGGAGCGGCGAACCACAGCAAGTGGGAGCCGCGATCGGCCGAACCTGCAGACTCGGCAAGTAAACAAACGGCTCGGCCCGCCGGGAGCTTACCCTGGCGGGCCGTGGGCCAAACGTTACCGATCCCTGGCCTATATTGTCTACTATGTCCGCTTTCTTCTACAGGGAGAGTGTGTACAATTGCTCCGGTAGGGCAGGCTGGAGGCTGTGGTGGTTGCCATTATGGAATGAAAAGGGGGTTAGGTACATAAACCCCTCTGAACATGGGAGATGTGCCATCTGCACATTCCACGGCTTCCTTTCTTCCTCCCCTCCAAGCCTTTATTGCAGCTGGGCTTCTGTGCTATCCTCACATTCTCAGAAAAGGAAGGGATAAGAAAATTGGACCAGTATCATTTTATTCAGTGATTTTTTTTTCAGCTTTATGGGCAAAGGCAGGGTCTGCAGAACCTAATCCATGTTAAAAACCCATGAATAGTGCTCTCATTTGGGTCATGGGATGGGGTGACAGAGAATGTCTACATTCATTCTACTATCTTCTCCCATCTCATTGGAGCTTAAAGCCATCATTGTACTGCTGAACATCACCAAGTTCTACTCTATGCTTCTCAGCTCTGTGAGAGGCTTGCTGTGTGATGGTGGACAGGTCACTTAACTTGTGGATCTCCAGTTACCTCATGTAAAATGGGAATTGCAACGAAGACATGATTATGAGGCTTACTTAGGCTGTCTGCACTACAGCGTTTTGTTGACAAAAGTTATGTCAATGTACACCATCGCTTTAATTAAACTGCTTTTGCATATCCATACACTATGCACTTTGTGTTGGCCGAGTGCATCCGCACTAGCATTTCTTGCATCAACACACAGAGCAGTGCTGTGTGGTAGCGATCCCACTATCCAAGGGGCCGCAGGGTCCTGTGAGAAGGGTTTACAGTGCCTCATGGGGCAAGTACATCATATGATGAATGTTTCTCAATCCCATCGTTCCATGGGCATGCTACTAGATTGGGGGGAGAGTGTAGAGTGTGTGTGTGGGAGACACAGTGGGTGGTGGGTGAGTGTGTATGTGAGAGAGACAGAGTTTGTGTTGAGGGAGAGTGAGTGTTGGCATACTGTCTCTAAGTTCAGACAGCAGCTGGAGGCAACCACTCCAGAGGCTGGGGGAGGGGAATCCCTCCCCCCCCCCCCAATCAGCCCCTGCCTCCAGCCCTGGCGCTGCACAGCAGAACAGTCCCCTGCAGTAGCAGCCTGCCTGCTGCTGTGTTCCTAGTGCCAGATAGGCTTGACAAAGGTCTGGTTTTCAACCGGAAGATCCAGTCGAAAAGGGAAACTGGGCTGGCAGCATCTGGACACTAGAAGTCCAGTTACCTACAGTAACTGGCCTCTGCCACTGGGGTGGTGGGAAGAGCAGCAGCTGCTGCTGGAGCATGGGGGAACAGCTCGGCTTAGCAGCTGCTGCTCTTCCTGCCCCCCCCACCCCGTCTGACACAGAACGGGGTGGCTACCGGACTGGGCTTCAAAGTAGATGCCGTCGGAGGGAGCTGAGGGGGGGAGATATGTAACCTGTCTGCCCCTCCGCCCCACTGTGTCCTGATTTCCCCACCCTTCTCTCCAGGAACTAACCCCCCATCTCCTGCCCTGGTGTGCCCCAATTTCCCCACCCTGGCCCCTCGCTCCAGGGCTGGACTCTCCCGCCCCTCACTCCAGGACTCCCCAACCCTACTGTGCCCCAATTTCCCACCTGGCCCCTCGTTCCAGGGACTGACTCCCCCCTTCCCTCTCATCCAGCCCAGAATGCCCCTCTCTGGCCCCTCGCTCCAGGGATGGATCCCGCAGCCCCACTGTGCCCCAATTCCCCCCACCACCGCAATTTCCCCTCCCCAGCCCCTCACTCCGGAGACCCTCTGCCCCATTGAGCCCTTATTTCCCCACCCCAGCCCCTTGCTCCAGGGGCCAACATCCGTGCTCCCCTGTGCCCTGACTTCCCCACCCCACCCCCATTGTGCCCCGATTTCCCCTCCCTGGCCCCTTGCTCTGGGTACCCCCCCGGACCCCTTCACTTTGCTGTGCCCGGATTTTGCCACCCTGGCCCCAGGGATCGATGCCCTCCCCGCTGTGGCCCGATTTCCCCTCCCTAGCCCCTCGGTCCAGGGACCACAGCCTCCTGCTGTGCCCCAATTGGGCAGGCAGGCAGGCTCCATGTCAGGTCCTCCCCGCTCTGGAGGCGGCAGGTGAGTCCCAGGAGATGGGTAGTGAGTGACGGGGCAGGGGTGGGGGGACAAGTAGGGGATGGGGCGGGGCAGGGGTGCTTGGTTTTCGGGGATTAGGAAGTTGGTAACCCTAGTGCCGGAGAGAGCTGGAGTCCATGGTAATGATTTGCTCTTTGCTGCCGGAGCGGCATGCTCAGCTGTCAGAACTTCCCAGAGCTTTGAAAGGGGAGTGGCTGCATGTCTGGGCAGCTGGAGTGAGCAGAGCGGTCACGGTGGGTGTTGTGGGATACTGGGAGAGGCCAGTTATGGCAACATAACGAACAGCACTGATGCTTTGTTGTTTTAACTTTGCCACAAAAAGCTCTATGCCTCTTGTTGAGGTAGTTTGGTTGGCACACCAGGAGAGTTTTACTAACAAAACTGCAGTGTAGACAAGGCTTTAGTTTATGCAGTTCATGGAAAATGTAAACACTAGGAATGCTGCTTATTACTACATGATGTGGAGTAGGCACATTGGTCATTTTGCTTAAGTGAAAGCTACAGCTAACACAAAGAAAGCTTTAACACAGGGGTCGGCAACCTACGGCACGCGGGGCCGGCCGGCCATGACCCCAGACCAGCGGCAGGCGGGCCCCCCCCGTCTCCTCCCTCACCGCACTCGGGTTCTGCGGCTCCTGGAAGTGTGAGCCGCCGCCGCTGCCCCTCCCGGAGCTCCCCCCTCCCGCTGCCTCTGCACTCTGCGGGGGAGAGGCTGTGCGCGCGGCAGCCCAGCAGCGTGTTTTGCCTCCACATGGAGCCAGCGTCTGACCTGCATGGGCATGGTAAGGGGAGTCCTGGGAGGCAGTCAGGGAGCAGGGGGAGGGTCGGGAGTTCTGGGGGTCCTGTCAGAGGGCAGGGAGTGGTTGGGTGGGGCGTGGGAGTCCCAGGAGTCTGTCTGGGGGTGGGGGTGTGGATAAGGGTCAGGGCAGTCAGGGGACAGGTAGGGGGTAGGGTCCTAGGGGGGCAGTTAGGGTGGGGGGGTCCCAGGAGGGGGCAGTCAGGGGACAAGGAGCAGGGGGGGTTGGGGGGTTCTGAGGGGGGCAGTCAGGGGGTGGGAAGTGGGAGGGAGTGGATGCGGGCGGGGCTCTCTCCCCCCCCCCGGTCCTCTCTTTTGATTGTTGAAATATGGTAACCCTAGGCGAGGTGGGAGCCGGGGGGCGCATGGGGGCTGGAGCCCACATGCATCCGCTGCAATCTGCAGGAGCTAGTTTCCCGCTAGCGCCGTCGCCTTTGCAGGGCTGCTGCCCCCCTGCACCGCGCCGGCTCCTCCATGGCTGGGGCTCGCCGCTGCAAGTGGGACACTCTGGCTCTCTGTTGCCTCCAGAAGGCGGCTTCTCCCTGCCGAGCTGCTGCAGCGGCCCAAGCCCGGCAAAGTCAGTGAGTGGACTCGGGGCGGGGGCCACCGGGGTGGTGTGGGGAGGGCTCGCGGGGGCGCTGTGCACCCTCCAGGGGAGTTCAGGGGGTGGGGAGGGGGGAACCTGGTCTGGGGAGCAGCCCCTGGGCATGGCTGGCCCCTGAGCAGGCTGGCCCCTGGGGTCTATAAAGGCTCGTTTGGATTTGCCCCTCAATGAACAGATGTGCAGGGGGGAGGGGGGGGAGGTAGAAGTTTTGCATAGGGCGCAAAATATCCTTGCACCGGCCCTGCCCAGGGGGTGCGTGCACCCCAGGTTAAGAACCACTGCACTAAACTGATAAGATCTGCATTTTAATTTAATTTTAAATGAAGCTTCTTAAACATTTTAAAAAACGTGTTTACTTTACATACAACAATAGTTTATAGACTTATAGAGAGAGACTGTCTAAAAACGTTAAAATGTATTACCGGCACACAAAACCTTAAATTAGAGTGAATAAATGAAGACTCGGCACACCACTTCTGAAAGGTTGCCGACCCCTGCTTTAACATAATATCTCTTCAAATACTAACTAACTTTTAAAAATGTCAAATATTTTATGGCTCTAGATTTTATAGCGAAGAAAATCTCTATTTGTTTAATGTACAGGTTGGTTAGAATAAATGCAGATTACCTTAATTTCTATTATGAGTTTCATTTTTGTATTATCCAGCTTTCTCTTTAGTTGATCAATTTCGTGCTGCACTGTTGTAATCTGGATGATTGTGGTGTTCTATGGGGAATAAACAAAAAGCTTTTATGCAGCTCAGCTATACTATATATATTTTTCTACCACTGCAGTTATTGACTATAATCTCTCTCCCTCCCCCGCACCAGGACAGCAATCCTCTAAACTCTTCTTCCAAGCCTCCTTCAGTTTTTGACTCCCCTCCCCCCCTCAAATGTCCTGTATTGTAGCAGTCTTCTCTCAAAAGGAGGGCAGCTCCCTCCAACAGTCAAGCCCTGCTGGCCTATGAGGAGGGGACACCCACAATTTTCCCAAGCCCTGTTACTCTGGGAGATGGATAGTAGCACATTATTTTGCTACTGGTCTTCACGACTGGACCCTGTATATGATTAAAAAAAATATGAATGTCTCAATCTCACCCATGTAATGCCTTTGCTTTGTCTCAATCAGGACATTGATGGCGATCTGCTATATTCAAGAACAGTGTGGATTAAACAGAACACCACCTCTATAATGGCAGTATCATTTTTCAAAAATTAAATGGCTTAGTTATAATGACAGTGAGATTAGTGTTTTCAAAAGTATGGTCCAGATCCTTAGCTGCTGTAAATCAGCATGGCTTCCTAGAAGTCAATGTAGCTGAAGGGGACGTGTGTGTTAGTCTTTTTTTGATGCTCTAGGCCTTTGAAAACCTCTATATATCCCAGCGGCTATATCTACATTACATGCCACTTGCAGCGTTGGAGAGGCAGCGGAGGGAGGGGGAGCCTGCGCGCCGAGTCCTCGCTCCTCCCCCCTCCCTCCTGCCCGTGAAACGCCACAAGCCAGCTGATTGCCACGGGCAGGGGGGGAAGGCGCTGATCCGCGGGGTCTGCCAGCGGGCGGGAGGCGCTGTGGGGGGGGAGGAGCGTAGGGAGGCTGCCAGCTGTGGAAAAAGCAGGCAGCCAAACAATGTAAGAGTGGAGCATTGCACAACTTTAAATGAGCATGTTCCCTAATTGATCAGCAACGTAACAATGAAACAACGTTAACAGGGACGACAAAGTGAGGAGTTACTGTAATAGAAGTAACTGATAGAGCACATGCTTCTGTAATACTGGCAGTGCTACCCAGACAGAGAGCCATGCTTAATAATAATTACACGTATTGTGCTTTACAAGTATTTATCTCTTATAGCTTTCAGATGTGAACACAAAAACATCCACAAATACTTTGCCACAGTAGATTTTCTGTTATTTTGGCTAGTCTAGTTTCAAATTAACTATCAGAGGGGCTTTCGCTACTTCCCTTGACAAATTATTCCACAATTTAGGAGATTTCACTGTCAGGAAGTTTTTCCTCAGTCTATCTGACCAGTTTAGTTACTCTTCCCTTAACTCTCACCAATTCCTTCTGCTAATGTAGGTCTCAGAGCAACACACTATTTTCAAAGTGCAAGTGCACCAAAGGCATTGAGACCGAGATTACTAGTTCCCTACTTCTTCAACACAGTAGGAAGTTTGTAATCTTTCTGCATGAACTTAAAGGATATTTGTGCCCAGTGTACACACAGAGCTATGGCTGTGCTGTTGCACACAAGCATTTGGAACATCTTTACACCAGCATACAACGCGTGATACATATAATTCATTCATGAAAAATCTCTGTTATATTAAAAAAATACTAGTTTATACAAAACTAAACAAGTTGTTACCATGTGGAAAAGAAGTAAACTTTGTGTTCTTACATGTACACTCATGCATTCATCCAGCATTCATGGAATACTTGGGTGTGCTATTTCCATGAAACACTCTGGGCAAACAAAGAGTAATCTGTAAGATCACCAGGGATGGTCCACACTTGGCCTATGCAAACAGATTGTCTTATACTATGCAAATGAAAAATGGACTAATGCTCCTATTCTTGGTAAATGGTTTTCTAAACGAATTAAGCTTTTTTAGATATAAAATCCCTAAAACAAACCTGGTCAATGGTGTACTCTGATTAAACTAGATGGGCTATGCTCACCTCTGAAGGACATATGACTGTTTTACAGATAAAGTCATTAACGACTTAGATATTGGCATAGAAAGTATGCTTATTAAGTTTGCGGATGATACCAAACTGGGAGGGATTGCAACTGCTTTGGAGGACAGGGTCATAATTCAAAATCATCTGGACAAATTGGAGAAATGGTCTGAGTTAAACAGGATGAAGTTTAACAAAGACAAATGCAAAGTGCTCCACTTAGGAAGAAAAAAATCAGTTGCACACATACAGAATGGGAAGAGAATGTCTAGGAAGGAGTACGGCAGAAAGGGATCTAGGGGTTATAGTGGACCACAAGCTAAATATGAGTCAACAGTGTGATGCTGTTGCAAAAAAAGCAAACATGATTCTGGGATGTATTAACAGGTGTGTTGTGAGCAAGACACAAGAAGTCATTCTTCCGCTCTACTCTGCTCTAGTTAGGCCTCAGCTGGAGTATTGTGTCCAGTTCTGGGCACCGCATTTCAAGAAAGATGTGGAGAAATTGGAGAGGGTCCAGAGAAGAGCAACAAGAATGATTAAAGGTCTTGAGAACATGACCTATGAAGGAAGGCTGAAAGAATTGGGTTTGTTTAGTTTGGAAAAGAGAAGACTGAGAGGGGACATGATAGCAGTTTTCAGGTATCTAAAAGGGTGTCATAAGGAGGAGGGAGAAAACTTGTTCACCTTAGCCTCTAAGGATAGAACAAGAAGCAATGGGCTTAAACTGCAGCAAGGGAGGTTTAGGTTGGACATTAGGAAAAAGTTCCTAACTGTCAGGGTGGTTAAACACTGGAATAAATTGCCTAGGGAGGTTGTGGAATCTCCATCTCTGGAGATATTTAAGAGTAGGTTAGATAAATGTCTATCAGGGCTGGTCTAGACAGTATTTGGTCCTGCCATGCGGGCAGGGGACTGGACTCGATGACCTCTCGAGGTCCCTTCCAGTCCTAGAATCTATGAATCTATGGAAACAATTACTAAAGTTTGGAATCTCTGGATTATGGTGGTAAATTTGTTCTTACAATTTATACTCTATACAGAAGCCAAATTTCATGGAAAGAGAGAATGGAATTGACAAATATGAACAAATGATATTACCTTGGCGTTTGCAATGTGTGTTAAATTGTTTGGTCGTTTCCTGATATCTCTGGCTTCCAGCTGCAACAGTAACTTTTGATAGTAAAGCTCTACATCTTGTCGCAGTTTATTTAAAATGTCCTCCAATGAAGCTGTAGCTTTCTTAGTTTCAAAATATTTCTTTTTCCATGCATCACGAGCTACACAGGACAACAACATCTCTGTTTGTTCTTGATCAGGTTAATATACAGTACATTAGGAATAATAATAATGAACAGCACACAGTTCTTGTGTAGTGTGCTTCAACTTCAGTGGTTTATTCATGTATGAAAAATGTAGCATTGTTTTTTAAAATCAATGAATGTTTAGCTAAACTAAACATTACATTAACTATACAGTCACACAGGATTAGCTGGACCCCAGCCAACTAAAATTAAAGGCTAGATCTGTCCTCTAAGGTTTGACTGAAGCTCCAGCAGGAACGCTGTAGGACCAGAGTTTCAGTCCTGTGGAGCTTTGCCGCGCTGCACGACTAAGCTGTACAAAAGAGCTAGGTTTGCAAAGTTTATTAGTTCTGCAGGTCCAGCGCTAAAGAGAACTAGGAGCATGTGTTATGCAGAGCTGGGGAACGCCACAGGTCCAGAGTTCTTGAGCAGAATTCAGGGGTGGATGCAGCCTCCTGACTCAGTGGGTGCAATATGGTGTCGTCAAGGGGGGTCACTGACCATCAGCAGGAGCACTCTCTGCCCCAGTACTGCAACCCTAATTCAGCCAGGTGCAAAGGGGAGGGCAGGGGGGAGGATGGAATTGTCTGGAGAACAAGCCCACCCCTACACTATCCTTGCAGCAGCAGCTCCTGTCCTGCAGGGCTGGGGCTGGCTCCCAGTGCTGGGCATTGTCACCTAGTACACAGGGTTGTATTTCCACTCAGGTTTGGCACCCAATGTTATGATTTTTGGGGGGGCAAATGACCCCCATAAACTCATGCTAAAGCTGTCCCTGGCAGAATGCCTAAGATTAATAGAAAACTTTCTGCAAACATTATTTACCTTACAGTAACTGAGGGTCTTTTAGATGTGTTGTCTACATGTAGTCCACTCTGGGGGCTAGAGTCACAAAAGGACTTAGGTACCTAAGTGCCAGGATAAGTGCCTACATCCTAGAATCAGGCCCCACTGGGGTGCACAAAACCTCTGCTCTACTGATGTCAAATCCTGAAGTCACCTAAACGCATTTGGCACCTACATTTCTGCAGTAAAAGGTCCCTAGCAGCCTATGTGCTACAGCTTCATTCTAGGCGTCCACATGTCTAAGCTCCAGTGTGATGCATGAATGAGGGGAAGCTAGGAGGTCCTCTGCCTAACTCACCTGCAGGGCCAGTCCAGTAAGTGGGCTCAGAGGACATCCATCAGATTGGGCCCCCACAGGCCAGTTCACACAAACTGGCTGGGGAACGAGGAACTCCCTTCCACATAGCTTTTTGCACAATAGGGTATTCACTGGGGTTGTGGGAGATCCCCCAAGTATCCCTTCTACCTGAGGAAAAGAAGGGATTTGAACACGTCTACTACTTCTCAGGTGAGTGCCCTAGGTGGACATGTGTGTTGGGTGGGAGTGGGAGGGCTCCCTCCATTTCATTGGAGCAGGGGAACTGGATTTTGGGTTTCCCCATCTCCTTGATAAATGCACCGGCCACAAGCATCAGCCTCATACTTTCTTTCTCGTTGGTCCAATGACGCTTTCATTATTTTTCACAGTGGAATGTTTCAACAGGAGAGGCTGAGGAAACCCCCCACATCAGTATAGTCTCTAGCCCAATGTTTAGGCCACCTCCTCCAACAAGTAGTAGATTCCCTATTCAAATCCCTTCTTTCATTGCAGGTGAAGAGGGACTTGAGGTGGGTGTCTCCCATAAGCCAGGTAATCTAATGCCAAGAGGGGGTTTGAACTCAAGAATCCCAAACAGATGGAAGTGCTTCCCTGAAGTCTGGACTTAGATGTGAAACTCCCTGAGAGAAGTGGGGCTTAGGACATACCCCTCATCTTGGCAGCTCTCATTGGCTAGCTTAGGCGGGGAGCCACCTAGCATGTTGGCTTTTGTGAATCCCATTCTAAGGTGCCTATCTAGCCCCATTCATTGTATAGGGAGCATAGGTGACTCACTCAGGCTTTGTGAATCCCAGTGATTTTCTAGGCACCTAAAAGTTGGGGGGCGTGTGTTTGATGCTGACCATTTCCACACTTACAGTCCTTTGTGAATCTAGCAGTCCATGAGTTGCATGTGCTTTATGCGTTCAGCATTGGACTCTTTTGCCCGAGTGTTTGTTGGCCTGTGCATGCCCCCTTTAGTTCTCTTTAACTAAAAAGAAAAGTTTTGATACGTCCAGGAAATAAAGCCTCTTCTTATTATCATTAGAAAGGGGTTTCAGGGAGAAAACAGGTATGTGAATACAGTAGTCCAGTTTAAGTGAAAATCTGAAACTATGTTAGGAACAAATTTTGGCTGGGGTTTAAAGGAGACCTTAACCTTATCAAAACTACTGTATGATGGCCCTGCCATGACTGCTTGTAGGTCTCCTACTCTACATGTTGGGATAATTGGCACTAAGAAAGCGGTTTTCACAGAAAGGTAGTATAAAGAACATGATGCTAATGGTTCAAATGGAAGCCCCCATCAACCAAGCTAAAGCCACAGCGCAATCTTAGGAGGGAGGTAGCTCCTATACAGGAGGGAATATATATATTAATTCTGTGAGGCATGTAGACACTGTAGGATGTGAGAATATATTGTGGGTGTGAATTGGAGACCGGTAAGTGGAGATAGCTGCTAGGCGTACTCTTTTAATAGTGAATTCAAATCTCTTTAATCAGCATAGATAATTTTAAATCACGGGAATGAGTGGGAGAGTTGATGTTGTTCTGCCCAAAGAGTGAATCTTTTCCATTTGGCATAAGTGAGCTTTGTCAAGTCCTTCCTGCTGTGAATCAAGATGTTCTGGACAGCTTTGGAACATGATTTCTCTATATTAGTCAGGCAGCCAGCATCTAGGCTGTAAGGTACAGAGAAAGTGGATCTGGATGGAGTGTCTTCCCATTGTTTGGGAGATTATGTCCAGATCCAGGGGTAATGTTATTGGAGGTTATACTAAGAATCTTTACGGGTCTGAGAACTATAACTACCTGCACCAAGAAGTTGCTAGCAATAGCTACGTGGCACCATCTCGTCTGAGTTTCCACACTGTCCTCAGAATTAGAGGAATCAGTGGATAGATGTAAGTCAGCCCAGGAGATGAGCTGAGGAAAAGTGTCCGATAGAGATCCTGCACTCAGACTCCCTTCTGAAATAAAAGGTATGGCATTTCTTGTTTGACTCCATGGCAAACAAGTCTATGGCTGGGTGATCCCATTTGTGAAAGATCTGTGATTGACTGAATCCTTTATGGACTATTCATCGTTAAAGGACGAGTGTCTGCTCACGTGACCTGCTAGGATATTAATCCTGGAAGGTGAATGGCTGTCAGGGCAATCTGATGTCAGATGCACCAGTTCCATATGCGAACAGCTCCCTGGCATAGTGGAAATGATCTGTTCCTCCTTGTCTGTTTACGTAAAACATCGCCAAGATGTTTGTCATGCCTGTATTGTTTTACCATGGATTAGAGGATGGAATGTCATATACGCTAAACAAATTTCTCTCAGTTCTAAGATATTTATGGAAAGACAAGACTTGTCTCTTGGCCATAGTCCTTGAGTCTGATGTTGATTCAAGTGCACTCCCCATCTGAGGTTGGAAGCATCCATTACTAGCATTACTGTGGATAGAGGAGAAGAAAATTGAGCACTTCTGCACACTTGAATAGGATCCTTCCACCAATCTCGTGATAATAGGACTTCCTGAGGTATCTGCACTGCCATAGCTATGTGGCGTTTGCTTGATAGGTAGCTGGACTTCAACTAGCCTTGAATACAACAAGGCATGAGGAGTGACAAACATGCACAGTGCATGTAATCTAGCATTCTTAGACATTCCTGTACTGTTGTCTGAGGATTGCTCTGTAACTGACTCATAAGCTCTGCCACAACTTCACAGTTAATGGACAGTAAGTATGCTGTTGTGCTCCTACAAATTCCGTCTTTTGGAAAGGTCAGGTGATTTCTTCTTGCTTACCCTGAGCCCTGATGTGGCAAAGAGTGCAAGGATGTAATGGATGTTGTCTGAGACCTGCTGAGGAGAGGTTCCTTAAATGAGCCAGTCTTTGAGGTAAGGTAAACATGAATATTCTGTAATCTTAAAAATGCCTACCACAAGGCACTTGGTGAAAACTCTTGGGGCTGTTGACAACTGGAATGGCAGGACTCTACTGGAAACGTGAAGTCCCTAGTATGAAAAACCAACCACGCCTGCAGAGGACCGTTGGCTCTATGACTGGGGGAAACCAGCCCAACAGGAGTTGAAGTTTTCAGTTGTCCACTGAGACTTTTGTATAATGTAGGTTGCAGTATATCAATAATTACTGTATATTGTCGTTGCTCCATAGATCAGTCAGGTATCTGTGCTATTTAACCATTCTGGGCAGTGACACTCAACATATGGCTGTAGAGATGCATGTGACTCATTAAGGTTCCCTGTGTGGGTCTCACAGAATCCACAGATTTGTCCAGAACTCTTTTCATTCTGCCTGACACCTCTGAAATGGAGCATTACTATATTGCAGGGGTCGGCAAACTTTCAGAAGTGGTGTGCCGAGTCTTCATTTATTCACTCTAAATTAAGGTTTCGCGTGCTAGTAATACATTTTAACATTTTTAGAAGGTCTCTTTCTATAAGTTTATAATATATAACTAAACTATTGTTGTATGTAAAGTAAATAAGGTTTTTAAAATGTTTAGGAAGCTTCATTTAAAATTAAATTAAAATGCAGAGCCCCCCGGACCGGTGGCCAGGACCTGGGCAGTGTGAGTGCCACTGAAAATCAGCTCGCGTGCTGTCTTTGGCACGCGTGCCATAGGTTGCCTACCCCTGCTATATTGCTTGTTTTCCCCTAAGGTACTTACCATATTTTTGTCTTGAGAATTAATTTATTATTTAAACAATTGAAAGGGAAAAGAATTAAGATGTTTTATGTGTACAAGCACAAAAGAAAGCATGGACCCTGCTTTCTGGTTTTCAGAGAAGTTTGTGTTCTGTACACATTTTGTTTCTATAGGTTTTATCTGTTATTATAGAAAAATAAGTTTTGTCACTAGTTATTTCATGGAATAAAATAGAGGTGTATCTGGGTGCCGCTAATAATTGTATGTGTCGTAGTAGACAAGTTTTCTGTCATGCCCTCATATATCATTCCTAAAAACAGCACTTTGGAATGTTTAACTCATTGTGAGCTTGGTACCATGATGTGGTTTATGGATGCCTTCTGAATACTGTACTTCTACAAGTAACATAACAGTGCTATGGTTCATACTATCCAGGGACATAGATATTTATGGGAGTACTACTGAGCATCAATGGGAGCAGACATTTTAGTCCTCAACCTCTCTACCATACTTAGTCATACAAATGAGCCTTTTGAGAGGTATTGTTTATCCAGCTGCTATCTCTGTAATTAAGCATATACTATAACACTACATAGACACAGGCAGATAAAAAGTTTCACATTTACTTTCACACAGTTATGATACAATTGAAGAACATACCATGATATCTCCTCAGCTTATTTTGTTCAAGCAAACCTTTGGCTTTTTTAACCAGTTCCTCTCTAGTTCTTTCCATGTGCCTTCTTTCTGCCTTCATTTGTTTCAGTTGTTCAACCATCTTGCTTTCTAAAGAAATTACAACCTACACTTAGTAAAGTTCTGGGTGCTAAAAGTGGAAAAGGCCAGCCATAGTTATGTCTCAGTGAAGTGCATGTACCATAAAGCATGCCCAACTTTTTCAGTTTGCGTCCCTTGCAGGAACACAGAGTAGGGATTCCCACAGTCCAGTATATTATCTCTAACACTGGCCACTACTTGATGCTTCAGAAAAAGGTTATATAAATGCAGAATGCACCCAGTCCTTTATAAATGCACAAATGAATTAGAACTAATATCCATATTAAATGCATATACATCACTAAAACTATATTTAAAAGGGAAGGCACAGGAAACACACTACATGTGTAGAAAACTGTTGCCAGATACCCAAAAACTCACGAGGGCTATTTCCTGCTGAAAGCATTTTGCTAAATATACTGCAACAAAATGGTTAGTTAGTGACTAGGGGCTAGATTCAGAAAGGGGACTTAGGCACCAAACTGCCTTTTTAGGCACCTAAGTCCAACATTTAGATGCCAGGGGCATTCGCAGAACCACTGCCCAGCTGCCACCTAATCCTGTAGATGCCTAAGTTTCCACTCTTAGAATCCCCTAAGTGTCTTGGGGCACGTGCAAAGCCATCTACATTCTGATGGTGCTGAGCAGTTCAGCTCCTAGCTCACACCTGAACACCAGGGAGATTCATGGACTAGCATTCCCCTGCCTATCTCAGCTGTCAGGTGTGATCTGGTACATAGTGCCGACTCCAGGAGTGCTCCATAAATTATAAATTCACCTTTTTAAAAAAACATTCACATCTTGAATAAAGGTTCAATTCCTTGTAATTTCTTGGAAGCATATACTTACTCTCTGTCTGAAATATGGGAACTTGAGATCTGTTTATAGAAAGAGACGGTGGAGGAGGAGGAGAAATGTATTGACTTGAATACTCAAGACGATTTATGTTATTCTTATCTGTCTAGAGGCAAATGAAAAGTATATAAATGCATAATATTCACCCTTGAATACTTGTACTGTATTTGGAGAAACATTTCTAATTAATGTAATATGCACGAGGGGCCAAACTCAGCCATCTCCTTAATCTATGCTGCCCAATAAGAATGCATGGGTGAATGGGAGGTCTGACTTTGACTAAGCTTTCTTTTTGTGTGTCATCAAAATAAATGTTTACTAAGCTCCAGTCAGTCAGACCTCTGCAAACCAAAAGAAAGCAGTAGGGTTGCGGAGGTAAATCTGATGGCAGAATTTAGCCTAAAGAACTTTAATTTCTGGTGATGATGCATGAGAAGAAAATAACCTAGCTTCTTTCTCAAATCCAGGTTGAATTTTAGGGCTGATAGAAAAACATCTTTTTACTTGTAAACTGAGAATATTTTATATAGAAATCATTGAGATACAACAAGAAGCTCCACAATGCCAATTTTATAGAATCACATTTCAGAGTAAGCTGAATATTAACATTTCACATAACTTTTATGAGATTTCCATTTCTCTTATACATTTCTAAGAGTTATCCTTTGATACTGTAATGAATCTTTCACTATCCCTGAGAAATGTATTGAATTCAAAGATTTGTGGTAATCTTTTTTATTATGTAGCTTTCTTCTCATCGAGTGATAAATATATTTATGTGTGGTTATCTTTTATCATTAATAAAATTTAAAAAAGAATGTAAATATGTGTATTCACACACTCTGTCTATAATTTATGATAGTATAAAAATAACTTGTACTAAAAGTACCTCTTCATAGACAATCCAGCTGGTGTAAGGTTCCTTCTGACAACTAACAATCATTTCCTTTAAAAAAAAACCCAGAACTTTAAACTGCTGTAAAGTAGAGCTGTGTGAAAATAAATTAAAAAAAAAGTGGGAAAAATTGTAAAAATGTGTGTCAAATATTGAAATTTTCAATTTTTTCCAGCCAGCTCTACTCTAAGTATAGCAGAAGTCATAAGAGCAGCCTTTGTGTTGTCCAATTCCTTTCATAAGATTATACAAAAGTAATTCAACTAACAATCAAAAGTCACACCACTGCAGAGGGCCCACATGAGCTCTAATTTCCGAGTTTAAGTGGTACTCAGGACCTCAGATGTGTTTTCTGCACAGTTTTAAAGATGCTCTAATTTTGGCTTTATACTATACCTGTTGTTTTCAGAAGTCTCAACATACGTGGTTTTTTATATTATACTTCAATGGCATTTGTACTTGAATGAGGACTTCAAGATATTGCCAGTAGAAAATGGATACTAATTACTAAAAAGCAGCCAATGTCAATAAATGTCAATAAATCTATATTTATGGTTGGTAATGAGCAGGATCAAACTCAGTTAAGATTTAAAAAATATGATAATAACTAGTAAACGTAGTCTCTATTAAATGAAACAAGCTGCTAGTCACTGTAATGCCTGCTTTTGAGGGGTTCATTGATTGCTATTTTTCATTTGCAAACTTGTTTCAGAGCAGAATCAACTTTTTTCAATTATACTGAAACCTACATTTGAATAGTGCATCTTCGTAACCTGAGCCAGCTGTACTGAAAATTAGGAATTTTCCTGCTGGGAGGAATGGATCTATTTCTTTATACTACCACTAATATTTTATCTTTGAAAACATACCTTATCATCCTGTTTGATACCAATATCAGTCACAGATTCTCTAATTCCAGACTGCTGAGGGCTGAAGATAAAATCAAAGTACCAAGTAAAAATTAATTTAAAAAACATAAATTTGTCTTAAATTTAATTCGTGTATATTTTTCTCCTCAGTTTCAGTTAATAGAAGTATTTAAAGAAGTTTCCATTAATGAAATATTTTGTCAGTAGAACTACTCACTATAATTACCTTTTCTTATTGTGCAAATATTCCTTGTCTCCATCTTCCAATGATTCTGGAATACCGGAATCGCCTGCAGTGTTTCTTCCCATCCTGATAGCTTTTAGATTGCCTCTATTTTCCACATTTTCAGCCACCACCATAGGGATTTCTTCTACAGCAAAGTACAGAATATTTAGGCAACATATACAATATTCAAGGGTCCCTTTGGACTTTACCAATGGCCCACCAAAAGAACCAAGTTAAAAACAGATCTTGTTAGCATCATTAAGAAAAACTAGAAAGCTCACTGTTTTGCTTTAGGGAAAATAAAATGAAACTGTCAACTACACTGCATACAATATTATTTTGAACATTTCCTGATTTTTCATTTGAAAAAAGATAATCCAGTAATTTATACTTCCAGTGTCTGACTTCAAAGGCAGATTCTGATTTTGTCTAAATCAAATCTGTATATTCTCAATGTTATTAAAATGAGTGGCAATTACACTAAGATCCAATGTTCAAAATGAAAATATTGATTCAGAGGATGCACTCCTTTCAAATAAAATACAATCTTATATCTTTGTATAATTAATCTTAGAGTTTTTGAAAACGTGAAAATGTGCAACATTAGAAGAGGGATTCTCTGAACCATCATTTTTTCCCATTGTAAAACAGAAGTTTGGCTAAAACTTTGATAAGTATCCAAACCACTGGGTGCTAATCCAAATTGCTGGACATCCAGGGGGTTGCCTAAATTAACATTTAATGGTACCAGTGCACTTGAAAACTTGGAATATTATTGCATCTAGTAGTTTCTCAGTAGAAGTTTTATCAGATAATGCTAAGGTAGGACAATGTAAGGTTTTTATATTTGACTGTAAAACTTTTTAATCAGATTTTGAATATTGTATTAATGATGTGATTTAAAACTGTAATTCCATCAGAATGGATGCTGAACAAAGAATTAATTAGTACTTTCTTTATTATATCTTCTTCAGAAATGAAAGACAAGAAGATGGTCATAGGCAAACTACTAACGTTACATCAGTTGTCACTTACAATCCAACTATACCCATTTAATCAATTATTTCCTTTTAATCAGGTAGTAAAGTAAGGTAGGAGACCATTCTGAAGAGACTACTATAAATATTGGCTTCCAGTACTCAGCAACCATCCAGTGTTAGATGAAAATGTGTAGCTGACAGATCTCTTTCAAAAAAACATTTTCAATTCTGGCATATAACTGTTAGCTTTATTTTTGCTCTAATCCCGCCCACACCTTTGTACTATTTCCATTATAGTCTATTCAGGAAAAATGTTCAATTCTCAGTTTTAGGAGTCAAACTCTTTAATATTGTAAAAGCAAATTAAAATTCTACTTTGTGGGAGGACAGTAGAAATATTTTCCTTTTCTGAGTACTACAAGCATGGCTAAATGTAAATTGCAGTAGATATGGTTAACAATGAAAATTGAAGTGAATGAAATTACTTTCCCCATTATCGTATTCTAGTTCAGATTCTTGATAAAGGATTTTAATAATTTATTGCTCCTGATTATCATATGGAAATAAAGTCTTTTCATGCAAAAATCCACTGAGCATGTTGAAGTATTTCCCTGTATCAGCAGACAGGGATGAAGGAAGGCTCAGCCAGGATAAATCGTAGTTGCAGATTTCTGAAAGTTTTTTCTGGGAGAATCTTAAAAGGCTTTCATTTTAAAGTGTAAAATAGCTCAATAAAGCAGCTGTCTATAGATTAATTGCTCAACCACTTTATTTATTTATTATATAATGAGCCTTGATATCACAGGTTAAAAATTTTGGGTCCCATCTTTCAATTATTAGGCAAAACTTCTATTGAGGTCAACTGGCGTTTAGACTGTGTAATTTGGGCCTGATCCAGAACCCATTAACACCCATATCTTTTAGATCTTTAGACCTTTTCTGTGAATGACACTGGCAGACAATAACTAAAATCTCACTATGTATTTGACAAGGTACATGAGGAAACATCTATTCACTGTGGAAATTAAGATATTAGTGTACCCACAAAATTATATTTGTAAGTCAAAATTTTGAAAGTCAGCTGTCTAAAATTAGGCTCCTAAATCTATAAGGCATCTGAATAAAATATTTTGATTTTCAGGGATACTGAATATCTACACTGAACTCTTTGGGTGTTGCAGGTGCAATGGATTTAAGAGCCTAATTTTAGGAATTTATATTGAAAATGTTGAGGAAATCATATCAGTCAAATGGAGAACAGGAAATACATATGTGTGAATGAAAAATGGGACAATTGGACCTTGTGTATTGACATAAACCCATATTTCATGCCATAGATTAATAAGGATAGACCATTACAGTAGGAGGCATATGGTGTGAAAATTATGGATGAAATCCTGGCCTCACTGAAGACAATAGGAGATTTGCTGTTGACTTCAACGAAATCAGGATTTTAGTTATGGATTGTAATAAAAGTTTACATTTACCATCTGAAGGTTCTAGTATATCTGGTTAAATGATAAATTCCAGATGGGAAAGAAAACTTTCTTAAACTTAAATTAAGATTGTAAACATTTTGGTTCAGTCAAAAAAAAACTAGTCTTGAAATTAACCTAGAAAATCTGAAAAACATGGAAACTTGCCTCCCAATGTCTTCATCTCAAACACTAACAGATTAAAGCAAATTCAGAGTTTCTAAACCAAACCATTTTGGAGTTATGATGAACTAAACAAATTCAAGAAAATGTTCAAGAAATAAGCTCACTTCATTTTTTCAACCTTATTTCCCAAAGGCCTTTTCCATTTTGCTTCAAACTTTCCAGAAAAATTCTACCCCAGCATAAAACAATGGCTGCAAAATTTCAGGTAGATTTTGAGGAAAATAGGAAAGCGGAAGTCAAAGTGTTTTTTATAACAGAACACGGGCTTCAAATTTTTTAACTACTATTTCTCCACAATAAAATTTAGAGTTTATGCTGAAATTCCATTAAGTTACATAACTGGGCCTATATATTGCAAGGGTTTCAAAACAGTGGATGCAGTTAGAGCATTTTACTGTGTCTTTGGCACAACAGGGTGAGGTGAAGAAAAGAATTGGATTCCTTTGCTTTTGTGATTCCAAATCATTCTTATAACATTGTCTGAACAGTTTTTATAGTGAAATTAGAGATTTTTTTATTCTTGTTTAGCTTTATATGCCCCCTTTCTAAAAAGCAGCCTTAAAGAGAAGATGACTGGATTAATCATACCTTTTCTTCCAGGGGGAATGTGATTTTCCTGAGTCTCATTGTTCTTGGCTTGTTCAGTGCTCTGTTTTACATGATGACCTGAAATAGTCCCTTTGTCTTTTTGACTCCACCTACATGTATTAGATTCTTTCTGATCCTGGCTTAGATGATTTTTCTGAGCACTTTCCAAAGATGTAGGATTTTTTGCAGACTCCCACTTTGTGGGATTTAAACTACTTGGTATGCGTAGAGATTCATTGGATCCAATTTGGTCTGCATTACAATTGATCAGTTTTACATGGGAAAAGAAATACATAATTTTAAATGTGCCCTTTAAAATGTTAATAATCATACATTTTATTTTCTTCAGAGTCCAATAGCTGAAGACCTTTGAAAGCCTTAGTAAATGAAAACAAACTAAAAGTGATATTCACAAAAGAGCAACACATCCCAAATATGTCTCATAGCAAAGCAGTAAGGAATAAGTATAACCAGACCACATACACAAAATTAAAAGGAAACAAACAGATTTTGAGCTTTCCCCTAGATGACACCAATGACAGAAAGAGAGAATTTCAGGGTTATACAGGCCCCTCAAAAGAAATGTCCCTGCTTCCTAAACTCAGTGCTCTCAGTGGAGTTCATGGTCACATTACAGAATCTCAGACCATGCAGATCTTGGTGATAAACAACAGGTCAAGGACCAAGGCTATAAAACATCATAGGACTTATTGGTTGTATACCTTGCCAAGTTTGCATATTACATCAGTTTCAGATCTTGTGACATCTGTTTTACCAACCATGCTGCCTATGCAAGAGAGGCTCTCAATGAGAACCCGGGGATGGAAAATATGTGGCACAAATTACACACCTGCTGGATTTCTCAGGCTGCCAATTCAACCCTGGCACATCCCAGGGAAAATATCCCTCTCCTGCTTCCAACCAATTGTCATTTCCCTAATTTGAGCCTCCTCAGAGAAGAAAATGGGATTGTGCTTGTGATGCTGACAGACCAGCTCAAATCAAAGCCATAGGCCAATTCACTTGTGTGTGAATATCAAATAAATGTTACATGGGCTAGGAGGAATAGGACAGTTAACTTGTGTGTGGATATAAAAAAAATATTAATGTTATTGTCTTCTCTTATTTGTAACCTGTTGAATGCCATCGCATTACATTATGTATATCCCTGTTCTTAATTAACCCTAGATCAAAAGTATCAGAGGGGTAGCCGTGTTAGTCAGAATCTGTAAAAAGCAACAGAGGGTCCTGTGGCACCTTTAAGACTAACAGAAGTATTGGGAGCATAAGCTTTCGTGGGTAAGAACCTCACTTCTTCAGATGCAAGACTTCTTCAGACTTGCATCTGAAGAAGTGAGGTTCTTACCCACGAAAGCTTATGCTCTCAATACTTCTGTTAGTCTTAAAGGTGCCACAGGACCCTCTGTTGCTTTTTCCTAGATCAAAAGTGTATGTTAGTATTAAGATGGGAATTTACTTGATGAAAACTAATGAAGGATTGTTTCTGGCTGTCACAATGTGTTTACATTACATTTATCCGTCACACAAGATTGGAGACTTGGAAATATAAAAGATTGCTAACTTCAAAGCATGGGTCATTTTGTTTGACAATGCATATTCACAGACTCTGTTTGTGTTTAATCAACAAAGGCAGAGCCCATGCTGCAAATGATTATGGCTGCCAGATTGCCTTTCCTGAAAAGGTGCTATAAGAATGGATCCAGGGATCGATCCTGTATCTAGGGTTGTCAAGCGTCTGGTTTTCGACCGTAATGCCTGGTTGAAAAGCGACCCTGGCGGCTGCGGTCAGCACTACTGACCAGGCCATTAAAAGTATGGTTGGCGGCGCAATGGGGCTAAGGCAGGCTCCTTTCCTGCCCTGGCTCCACGCAGCTCCTGGAAGTGACCGGCATGTCGCTGCAGCTCCTAGGCACAGGTGCGATCAGGGAAGCTCTGCATGCCACCCCGACCCCGAGGGCTACCTCTGCAGCTCCCATTGGCTGCTAACTGGCCGGACATGGTGGCTGCCTCCAGAAGCAGCACGGAGCCAGGGCAGGCAGGGACTATGCCTTAAGCCCTGCTACGCCATCAACCGGGAGCCGCCTGAGGTAAGCGCCACCCAGCTGGAGCCTGCACCCTGAACCCCCGCCCCCAGCTGGAATCCCCTCCCTCACCCTAACTCCCTCTCAGACCCTGCACCCCAACCCCAGGTCAGAACCCCCTCCCACACCCAAAAACCCTCCCAGAGTTCGCACCCTGCACTCCAACTCTCTACCCCAGCCCTGAGCCCCCTCCTGGAGTCCACACCCCGCATCCCCACCCCAGCCCAGTGAAAGTGAGTGAGGGTGGAGGACAGTGAGCAACAGAAGGACGGGGGGGGGGTTGGAGTGAGTGGGGGGCAGGGCCTCAGAGAAGGGGCGGGGCAGGTTGGGCAAAGATGTTCAGTTTTGTGCAATTAGAAAGTTGGCAACCATACCTGTATCTCTGAAGTGTTTTGGATTCTAACAGGGTGAAATACTGAACAAGTGGACTGAGATCCCCAGAATTACTGTGGGTAACCCTGAGAGACTTATAGAACACTTGCAGATTACCACATCTCTGCTATCACTCTGGACTTACAAACTTGGACTCACCTATTAATGTATTTTACCTGTTTTAACCTCTCAATAACTCTTATTTCTTTTTATTGGCTAATAAACCTTTAGGCCACGTCTACACTAGCACTTACGTTGACAAATCTTTTGTCACTCAGGTGTGTGAAAAAACCACCCTTCTGAGTGACATAAGTTTTTTCCAGCATAAGTGCTCATGTGTACAGCACTATGTTGGCGGGAGATGCTCGCTCGCTGAAATAGCAACCGTCGCTTGTTGAGTTGGTTTTATTAAGTTGACGGGAGAGCTCTCTCTCATCGACATAATGTGGCTACACAACGATCTTACAGCAGCACAGCTGTATCGGTACACCTGTGCCGCTGTGAGCTTGTAAGTGTAGACATGGCCTTAATTAGTTTACTAGAGAAATTGGCTTCAGCGTTGTCTTTGGTGAGATCTGGAGTACCAACTTGACCTAGGTAAGTGACTGGCCTTTTGGGGTTGGGAGTAACCCCTAATGTGATGTGATATTTCGTATAGTGACCAATATCATAAAGTGCAGTTTGTCTGGGTGGCAAGGTAGGAGGACTATTTGTGACTCCATGGTAAGACTAATATAGTGATCCAGGCATGCACATAAGTTACTGGCTTGGTGAAATCTAATTATAGATATACCACCAGTTTGGGGTGTCTGCCCTGTTTTCTGACAGTTTGACCTGAAATTGGCACTCATGGTTGTGAACCACTTCAGATAACATGACATTTCTCTTTTTTTTGAGCTTCCTTATAAAATATAAAGGCCTGAAACAGCAAAAGAAACATCAAGTCTGATCTTCTCTAGCTTTGATGGAGAACATGTTGGAGGTCTCATGTATTTTGTGAGGTTTCTCAGCCCTTAACTCAAAAGGCTGGGTGTTAAATATTTGAAAGAGATCTTTTCTTCCCTCCTTTTGTAGAGTATTTTGGTTTAAGTGTGCGTTACCACCAAAACAAACAACAAAGTTTTAAATCTCAATTAATCAAGTTTTAATGGCATGACCTCCCTGATGTCATAAACACACCAGTTCTCCAGCTGTCCACAATCTCTCCCAGAGAAGAAAAAAACCTGTATTGTAATGTAAAAATTAAACTGAAAAAAAAAAACATTAAAGAAATACAACAAAAAATCACCCTTTCAGGCCTACTTTGTGCATTCTAATCAGGCAAAAAAGAGCAGAAATCCATTTCCCTTCTTTTACAAGTCAATCTGAACAACAACAAAAATCACCAAATGCGAAGTACAAAAGTAAATTATTTGACCGTTAGTATAGTACAGTTAGGTGAAGGAAATGGCTTCGTCTTCAGATCTGAATTTGATCATTTAAGTCAGTCTTCTTCTAACATTATTTCAACAGGTTTGGATTTGTTTGGGTTTTTATAGTGTAATTGGCCATTTTCTTTTTCAGTTCCTGTTTAGGTCTGTACCAAAGCATCTCATTCTCCCTTCCCCGTACTAGTTAAATCTTACCTTTCCTTCTACGTGGAATCTGTTTTTCCCAAGTCCTGTTGTTCAGGCTTTGTTCAGGTTTTATGTGCAAAACTGAAATCATTTCTTTTTCTGTCTCACTCCATCCTAAAGAACTAGAATCTTCCTGATTCTGCATGAGAGTATTTTTCTGTGGACTTTCTAGAAATGTTGGACTTTTTTCATGCTCTTTCTTTGGAAGATTTAAAGTACTTGGTCCATGGGGAGACTTATGGGATTCTGCATTAAAGTGCTGTGTATCTGGAGTTGTTGATAATGAATAAGCAATTTCTAAGTGGTCCACTCCAGGGAGCAAATATAATTCGGGATGAAGTGCCTAAAACATACCATATGTTAATTAGACAAGGAAGAAATAATTGACATGAAGTGCACACTTGAAATGATAACTTGAAAATTATATGATACATACATGTGGGGGAGCAAATAACTTGAGTTTCAGTTCTGTTTCTTGCTTTGCCTTCACCTTGGAACATAAAAAAGCAAGTAAAATCAACAAAATACTTCTGCAAAAGGAATGCAGCATACCATTCCATTTGTATGTTATTTTCTTTGTAAGTTACATATGATAAATTACATTTATTACACTAGCACTTTGGGTGGGAAGAACAGACGACAATTCTCTGTTTTCTGACATGACATCTATTCATTTGTACTTTTGTCAGACTCCAAATGTGTGCTATAATCAGCCGAACAGGAGTGTGTGTGTATTTTTATAAATATCTTCACCCCCTTACGCTTTCACTAAGGGCTCAAAGGACGTGAGCCAATTCCCAGCTGAAGTCAGTGGAAAGACTCCCTGTTGACTTCATTAGGAGTTGGATTAGGCCCAGTCTGAACAGGAAGTGTGTTTTAAGTAACATGCTTCTCTCAATTCAATTGTTAAAACAAAGCAAATATTTTAATGTAGGAAAAGAATCCACTGACTCTCCTGCTGACTTCTACTGTGCTTAAGGAATTTTTTATTAGTTGTCTTGATATCTTTGGCTACATCCTTTTCAGATTTTTTTCACTTAGTCCTTTTAATAAACAAAATCTCAGGTGATCAATGCATATTTAAGAGTATATTTGAAATCAGTGTGTCTTATAGAGAATAAGAAATCTGAACTTCTATTTAACCCTGTCTTTAACCAATGAAATAAATTAAATTAAACTAAATATAGGACAAAATTCTGTTCTCAGTTACTCAAAGGCAATAACATTGATTTCACTGTCTACAGTCAAATTATTAAAAAAAAAAAAAAAGTTAACGTTTTCCTAATTCAAATGTTTTCCTAATTCAAATTCCCCTTACTTTGTAAGAAAGGTGCAGCTCTTGGAATAGCTTACATTGTTACTGTTGTGAAACAGCAGAACTGAAAAACTCAGCAAATATTTGATCACAGAGATATAAATACAAGAGGTTACCATGACCCCAAACAAACAGGAAGATTATACCAACTGCATACGACTACTTTAAAATTCACAAGATTAAAACAATATTTACAGCTTGGTGCTAAAAATGTCCAGTTATCTATGCTAGGATATTTTAATTTTCTAACTATTAAAGAAAAAATAGTTTATTAAATATCTGACAATCTCAGTAGAGCAGGGTAAAAACTTCTCTGTTTTGCTTCAGAAAAGTTTAATGGGAGAAAAAGTATAAAATGTTGTCTAATATCCAGTTTCAAAAAAATGCAAAAGAAGAAATCTAGAGAAAATGCAGAAATAACTTACCACTGCTAGCTTTTTCCCTATATGTTTCAGAAATATAAACTTATCTGCAACAGCATCTTCACCCAGGAAGTCTCCAAGCTCCTCCCGCAGTGCTCTCAATGTGACATGACGAGGCACCCTAGAACACCATTATTCATTATTACAGTTGTAAGAAATGATGATGGCTATTTAGTTTGCAATGTGAGAGTGTGCCTGAAATGTTGCATTTCCAGATCAGACAGGCTTAGTGTTTCAAAGTCATGATGGTGCATCACAATATGATGATACTGTGAATCAAATGCAATTACAACACCACCTGAGAATTGTTCACATCTCAGTTATCCATACAAAAAGCAAAGGGGCAGGACCTGCAATTTGAAAAAGGTGTGGGGAACACTTTTGCTTGTCTGACACTAGAAGACAAAATTACTGGGAACTACAATGAGGGTATCTGTGCAAAAGACAGAGCTTTCTTGGTGGAAGGCCCAAAACTGCGGAATCAATTCCCCTAGGAACTAAGGAGTATCACAGATGCTCTCTAAATGCAAAGTGCATCTTGCCTTCTCTAATAGAAACATATAGGAATGTGTGTGCACATGCGTGTGTGTTATTAAACAAAATACTCCACAGCACATACTTCTTCCCCAGAGAAGGATGAGAGAACAAAAATATGTGATAGATGTTAATCATGTTAGTGGACAAATTGGGAGAAAGCCCAGAGGAGAGCAACAAAAATGATTAATGGTTAAGAAAACATGGCCTACAGAAAAAGATTGAAAAAATTGGGTTTATTTAATCTGGAGAAGAGAAGATTCAGAGAGGACATGGTAACAGTCTTTAAGTATGTAAAAGGTTGTTATAAAGAGGAAGGTGATAAAATGTTCTTCACTGAGGACAGGACAAGAAGTAATGGGCTTAAACTGCAGCAAAGGAGATTTAGGTTAGACATTAGGAAAAACTTCTGAACTGTAAGGGTAGTTAAGCACTGGAACAAACTACCTAGGAAAGTTATGGAATCTCCATCACTGGAGGTTTTTAAGAACTGGTTAGACAAACACCTGCCAGACATGATCTAGATAATACTTAGCCCTGCCTCGGTGTAGGGAACTAGACTAGGTGACCTATCAAGGTTTCTTCCAGTCCTACATTTCTATGATTCTATGGTGCTTAATGCGCTACTGGAAGGTACTTAGGCCTGGTCTACACTAGAAAATTAGGTTGTTTAACTACCTCGGTCACAGGTGTGAAAAATCAACACCCCTGAGCAGCGTTGTTAAGCCGACCTAAGACACCCCTGAGCAGCATTGTTAAGACGACCTAAGTCCCCCTATGGACAGTTGTAGATTGATTGAAGAATTCTTCTGTTGACTTAGCTACTGCCTCCTGCGGAGGTGGATTACCTAGACTGATAGGGGAATCCCTCCCATCGGCATAGGTAGGGACTACACAGAAGTGCCACAGCAGCGCAGTTGCAGTGGCACAGCTGTACTGCTGTAACGTTTTAAGTGTAGAAAAGCCCATGGATACCAAGGTAGAGTAGAATAGAAATGGAACAGAGCCAACCACATGAGAATGCAAGGTTCTACTTGGGAATTTGGCCCTCTTTGGTTGGCTGCCTCCTCATATGCTTTGCCTTCACTTGTTGTCCATCCTTCAGGGATGGTTTCCCACAGCATGGGACCTTTTGGGATGGTATTGTGACATGATGATATTATGAAATATTTCAGATCTCATCTCATGAGCCAGAACTGACTTTTCTTTTTATTTCCTTGTATATTCTAAGGCTAGACAGGTAGGCTAGAAAATTTCAATTTAAAAAACAATGTTATTTAATTAGAGCACAAGAGTTTATCTGAAAACAGACAAATTTACTATTTTTGTCTTTCCATCATGTAGAAAAAAAAATCTAATGTTTTACCTCAAAATTTTTACCTCAAAAAGAAAATATTCATTCTTTGTCTAAACCTTTGAGTGTCAAGATTTAGCTAACAGCAAATTTTTGCAGCCCATATAGCAACTCCTGAAAATAAGCTCGAGCATATAATGCAAATACAGATACAATGTTCACTGCAACATCAAAACAATACCATAATAAACATTTGATATGTTTACCATAAGCTAAACAGGTTCATAATTTAATACCCACAATTTGTGTGCAATACCCACACTCTGGGTTGCTTTGCTATTTTAAACTTGATTTCTACATTGCAAGATCTCCATCAGTGATTAGTTTTCTTCTCAAAGCTCCACAAAGAATGTGAGCATATTTACTTTGGCATCCCTCCATGCTTTGTAAGGAGTTCTTATTGGGGCTCATGTGACAAGGACAACTAGCTATCCTTTTGGTATGCAGAGGGCTTACAATGCAAGTGAACATTTCAATGTATTAGACTGCTTGGTGGTACCTATTACCTTTAGATCATTTTGATCTTCTGTAACTTCTCTGCACCCATGGGGTTCCTAATGGCTGTTCTTGTGAGTAAAGACTATAGTCCCCTTCCTTACCTGTGATCACAGACTAGGGCTCAATCCTGCTTTACGTGGGAGTGGATTGGGCTTCAGCTGGTCATTCACACCAATATTACCTGCCTTCAATAGGAAGTCAGGGGTAACATTCTTTTAAAGCAGCAGAGTCCTGTGGCACCTTATAGACTAACAGATGTATTGGAGCATGAGCTTTCGTAGGTGAATACCCACTTCGTCTGGCATCTGACGAAGTGAGTTTTCACCCACGAAAGCTCATGCTCCAATACGTCTGTTAGTCTATAAGG